CTCTCTCTCTCTCTCTCTCTCTCTTACATTTGTAACATGCCGGGGTTTCAAGGCTTTGTAATTGATTGCCGGCTCTCCTTTTTGCCCGAGGATCATCGCCTGCCGCTCTCTCATACCTTTCTTTTGCTTGATCAACGCGTTCCTGGTATTTTTCCTCCTTCAATTTACACATTTTAAGCGTTTTTTGCCCTTTTTTGTTGCATCTGGTGAGATTTTGCCATTCTATTTCTTTTGAGCTTGCATTTTGATATTTGGATATATTTTGAGGGTCTTCTTTGATTCTTGTTGGCTTTGTGGGATTCTTTTAGGATTTTGTGGATGTTTTATGAGCTTTGGAGCTGCATTTGGCTTCTTTGAAGCATTTCATGGATGTGTATATTATTTTTCTGATGTTTGTAATTTGTATTGTTTGTTGGTTATTTAGCCTTCATTCGATTTCTTCATGTTTCTCAAGCTCAAGTTTAATGGTTTAAATGATTTTATTTTAAAAAAATTAGGGTGTTTCAATTAGGGATTTCCTATTGGCTTTCAAGTTGATAAATTTTGTAGGCAATTTTGGTGGTTTGGTGTTAAATGTGGATGTTCATGGGGATTCCCATTTAATCTTGATACCTGTTCTTAAATTGTTAAACACTCGGTCCCTTCCTCTTTTTTTTTCTTGATCTTTTCCTTTGTTGGCATTGATATGTGGTGGCTGATTTAAATTGTTGGGTCCATGGTTTTTTGGGGTTTCCTTTGGTAAATTACATCTCTCCCCCTAATGGTTGGAGCTACTTTAAGTTTTTTGAATGCACCGTGGATTTTTTTAGAGTCCTTTTAGTCTGTGAAGTTCAATTTTTGGGGTTTCTGTATGACATTCAGAACTGCATGGCGTATTTCGTTTGAAGTATTTGTGGAGGTATGGCATCTTCTTTTTGCGCTTTGTTGATATTTAGTTTTTTGAATGTTTGAATGATTTGCTGTGGCTCTGGATGAGTTCGTGAAATTTTCATTGGTTTTTGGTATGAGAAATTAAGGATTCTGTGAGCCAGGGATTCTCTTAATTTGTGCTGTTGTGATGCTTTGTTGAGAATGGGCTCTAGGCAAAGGTGCTCAGGGTGGTAGGTGCCACTGTGATCTCTAGTGTTCCATTCTCACCTGGTCCCAACTCCCAAGTTGGCATTTAAAAAAAAGAGAAATTGTGATTTTCTGTTCGGTTCCTCAATATTACTAGGTTTGCATGCTTATAGAAATTACTATCGGCATCTAAGGGTTTGGAAGTCGTGTTATGTTGAATCTTTTCTGCCTCTTTGTGATTTTAGGATGGAGTTTTTGGGTTTTTGATCTAAATCCAAAGGAGGCTTGGTTTCGCTACATGGGTTGTAGGTGTTCTTTTTAGCATTCAGTTCTGGGAAGCTATAGTTGGTTGGGTTTTTCGTATTTATGGAAGTTGCGTGTCATATTAAAGTGAACATGTCAAGTTATCCATTTGTGCAGGTTGTAAATAATTTTTGTTGCATGTTTTGTTTCACTGAGTGTTTAGGGTTTTACTTATTTTGAAACATATGGTTAAATGATTGGATTGTCTACTGGTTGCATCTGCCTTCTTATCAACACTATGTCGATGCTTTGTTGCTGTAGGGTTGCATAGGGTTATCTTACTCCGATTTTGTCAGCCCATGCAAACTTAGTAATTTTATTTACGTATTGTTATATCATTTGGGCAGTACCCACAAGCCAACAAAGAGTCACCTGCTACTTAGCAGTTGTTCTCCTGCCTTGCATGCTAAACTGACCCCAGTTTGTTATTGAGTATTCCTTATTTATTTTAGGCTTTTGCTTTTGTTTGTAGGCATTTTTTGTGGTTATCACCAATATGCATAAGAAGGTAATCCAGTGAATGATGGCTCACTGACGGGGCGTTCTATTTGAGCTTGTCACTTTGTGGGATCATTTCAGTTGGGTTGTCAGTCAAAGTCTCCTAGTTGCTCTGATGTAATGCTGCTCATTTGTCCCAAAACAGCATTTTGAAGTTTTGAAACCTTCTTTGTTTTGAAGGATTACCTTCATATTCCTGCTTTTTTAACTTCAATCTGTGGTCATTGTGTTGTTTATAACCTTAGTTGTGCATTTATATGTCCAATATGGTACATATTTTTATCTATGAAATTAAGTCTCTGAATGATGGTGTTGATTTCTGAATCTGCATGGAATTAATTACAATAGTTATAGGGTTTTTCCAATGGTTTTATTTATGCTATATTTGAATCTTGGATTATGTCCGGTAACTTAAATCTATTTCTAAATTATATTTTTTGGAAGGATAGACATGAAGAATATTATCTCATGTTAAAAAATTTCAAGACATCGTAAGTTGAGAATGTATATTGTCTTCTATGTATGACTTTTTCCATTCTAAAGGTAGTTTGCCTCATCCAAATTTATTGATTTCCTGGAACATATTGACTACTCCACAAAGTTTGAAGGACTATTTAAACCATGAGCACAAAGAAATCAGAATGTCAAATGACTATTATGCCATTCTTTCAATATGGTTTTGTATCAAGAACTATAGGAGCCTTAATATTTGTCAGATATTAACTGCCCCGGATGAATAATAGTTGTTATTACAAGAATGAATTTGTCTATTTCATGCAAGGGCCTTTGTGTGTGGCTACCTTTACGAGGAACTCACTTAACTTATTGTTGCGGTGAGTGGTTAATCACATAAGAAATTTGTATGCTGGCCCCTTTTAAAGTTCTATTTTCTTTCCCTTTCTGTAACTGGAATTAATGGTGTCTTGGTTCTAATTTCTTCAGGCTCATGCTGGTCGATTTGTGTATGATTCTCAAGATTCCATGCTCTTATAAGAGTTCTTTTGTAAGACCTATTTGTTTATGATAGTTCAAGCTTGATGGGCTGAAAGTTCTGGATTTTTCCAGTAAGTATATATCATCGGTTGTGAAGGAGATTAGGGCACCCAGTTTGAGAAGACTTGCATCAATGTTTAATAGCAAGCAGGATTTCGTTACTATTTAATGCATTAATCTTTTGAGGAAGTGGTAGTTCTATATGCCGGGTGGTAGATGTCTTGCTGAAGTTGAATTCTATGTTTGGAGACCTCCTGGATTTATAACCTGGTAGCTTGGTTTGTTTGAGTTGCTGCTGAATTTTTGAGTAGTTTTATTTGTTGCACTGGCACAAGGACTATGTTAGCTTTCCTTGTCTAAACGGATGATACAGCATTATTCACCGTGTTTGTAGAACTGATAGAAAATCACAGGAAAAAGTATTGTATTTCAAATTGGATGTTGAGATTAACTGGCAGTGTGACCCTAGTATTCATTTGACTCGAACATCTGAGGACATATAATCGAGAAACTATGGCTGCTGGTTGGGTTGGTGTGGGAGAAAGGGATTCTGCTACAGATCTCGAAGTTGGGGAATATACCTGCGAAGAAGGATCGAAAGATGCTAACTCTGGTGGGCGACATATGAGAAAGGGAGGACTCAGCAGGATTTGGAGTGGGTTTTTGAGGAGTGATGGATCCATTTCAGGGGAAGAAACTCCAAGTTTCACCAACAATGTCAATGATGAAGCTGACATCTCTTTAGACAGGAATGATTTTCCTGGAGAAAAGAAAGCAGTAGATAGAGAAAAAATTGACTCTTCAGAGACAAAGCCAGTGAGGGAGAAACCGAAGAAAGCAGGCGGCAAGAAACCACCTAAACCGCCCCGGCCTCCAAAGGCAGTTGTATTGAACCCTTCAGATCAGAAGCTTGTTCGAGAGATTTCTGAGCTTGCAATGCTGAAGCGAGCTAGGATAGAAAGGATAAAGACCTTGAAGAAGATGAGGGCGGCCAAGGCGGCTTCATCAAGTGGTAATATGTATGCCATGGTCATCACCATCCTCTTCTGCATCGTGATGATCCTTCAAGGTAGCCTCTATCACCATATAGCTCCTTGTGGACTAGTACACAGTAGTGAAAGTATATTTTAATCTGATGGGCTAGAGACCCTCATCTCTTGGTGTAATTACCGCTCTCTAAAATGATGGTCAGTGAAGAAGAGAGGGGGGGCACCATTGGGTCGTGTCTTTGGGTCCTATTCTCTCTCCATCAGTGTCCATTCCATAATATGGTGATGAGCAGGATGAACTATGCTTCTGCGTAAGTCCATTGAATAGTATACACTTTCTGAATGAATTATATTTTCCTACAACTGATCATCTCGTGAGTAGATTATTACGCTTGATTTGTCATGTGAAATGGTCATTTAAGTTTCCCTATTTAGGAGTTCTCTTTGAATCTATGGTCCTTGAAAATGAAATTAAAGTTTATTTCTCCCTTTTTTATTCTGTTTTACTTTCAAACTTTTTTCCATGATTTTGAGTTTTTTTCTTGCAGGCTTGTTTTCTCGAGGTAGTTCAAGTACTGTGAACTTGCAGCTTTCGCCTGTTCCAGTTCCTGCAGGAACTGCAAGGGGAGGGTTTATCACAGTTCAGTATAACAGGAATTCTGGGGTTGGCACCCCTGGCTTCGAATCTGTTTCTCCCAAGTAAGTTTCTTTTGCTTTCTTTTTTTTGTTTTGGTTTTTGGTGTTTTTTTTTGGGTTGCCTGGGGGGGGGGGGAAGAGGGGGTTTATTGAATCATATTTTATTGTTTTGGTGATTACTAATTAATTATTATGGTAGTTATGCATGCCTTCATATTAGAAAGAATTCTGAAGTAATTATATCATTTTATCTCAACTTGCAAATTGCAAATCTGCATTTATATTTTTATGCCATCCATCTGAAAACAAACTACTTTCCAGACTTTCAAATTTGGAATACTCATATTGTTGTGTATAGTCGTGGACTCACGATGATGGCCTTGACACCCAAGGCAATCTACTTCCATTTCTTTGTTATATGGAAAATCAATGCTTTTTTGGTCATCATTTTATAATTATTTCCTTAAATATTGTTTTGTGCTGCATTACTTATATATATTGCTTTTTAAGATATCAGGATTCTGAAAAACTTGGTGGCTACATGGGCATTTTGTGTAGAACTATAGAGGCACATGAATATTTTTGTGATCTACTGAGGAATGTTCAGCACCTTTGTGTGGTCCTTGGTAATGTGCTCAGGAATGAGGGCTTTTCTCCTTATACTATAGTACAATCAGCATACCAAATGCACACGTGATATTGATAATGCTAGAATCTATCATATTTATTATAATCTTTTTGGAGCACATTCAGCATATCACTATTTAGTTATACACCCACCACTTTTTATTTTGCTACCCAGAACATGGTGGCAATACTGATTCGGAAATTGGTTTGACCACCAATAGCATTGGGTGAATTATGAAAATGAGTGACTGAATGTGCCTCCTCATCTTTTCGCTTTTTAATTGTAGGGATGATGTTTTCCGTACATGTCTGTCTTTTCTTGGTAACTTGCATAAACTCTTAACTCTTCTGTTAGCAGGCCCTGTACAACTTGTTGCATATGGGCCATGTTATTATGAATCTGCTGTTTGACCCCTGTCATTTGAATTAGATTACAATCCCTGCACTTTGTTTGTTTTTGAAGTCTTTGGGTTTACTGGAGTTTTCAATACCACGCACACATCCTCAAAATTCAAGTGTTGGGGAAAGTTAGACAAAGCACTGAAATTCATGTACTTTCTCATCAAGGAGTAGACTAAAATATCAGAAAAGATTGTCAATTCTTCTTCATTGTAGGTAAATAAGTAGATCATCCATTGAAAGTGAAATGGTAAACAAGTAGATCATCCCATTAACAGGGCTATGTATAGTTTGTTAACTTTATCTCAAAAAAAAAGACAGGACTATGTATAGTTTTTATTTTCTAAAGACGTGGAATCAGTGACATCCTTGAGAACTATCTCTAAAGGTCCGTTAACAATCACAAAAGTTTATTCATTCTCCTTGATCACTTCTTCATTATATGGGCCACGCCACGGCCACGCCACGGCCACGCCACGGCCACAAGGAAGGAAGTAGGGCTTTTTCTTTGGTTTTCCTAGGGATTTCGTTGTTACTTTCATTATTAGTGTCGCTGTCATTACGGGGCTAAAACAAAGGACCCCCTCAGTTGTTTGACCAAATTGGCTCCGATGCATCTCTAGCAAAAATTGATTCCATCTTATTCCATCAAGCATCGAGCACACAGTATTTTCTATCATATCAATTGAAATGTTAGAAAAAAAATAGTTTTATTGCTAAATCAAAATTCACTTTCGCATTTTTCAGCGTTCCATGAATTATTGCAGAGAGAAATTGGCATGTGATTGACTCTGTTATCTTGTATCCAATTGCAGTGAGGTTGAACAAAGCTCGGGATCTGATACATACAAAAAAGAGAGAGTTGTGGGTTGAAAATGAGGAAAATGTTAGTTAATGGCTGATGGTATGCTTTCCAAAGCAAAGATCTACATTGGACTATGCTTCTTGGTGAGTGATTGATGCATATTTGTAGCCTGTAGCTACCACAGTTCCCCATTCAAAGGTCCTGGCTTAGTTGAAAGCTTTGTGTACATATGATTTCCCGTGAAATGTTTACCTGTGGGACATAAGGTGTTGCTTGTGTTCATCTGGGCACTCTAGAGAGAAATTTTGAGAGCTTTGTATGCCTAACCTCAGGAATGGCAGTGGAAGATTTGGACCTCTGAGATATGCTTACTACTAACGCCATTAATGTTCCAAATTTTTTTTGTAGTATTCAATATAATTTTACTTATTTTATTAAGCTCTTGTATGATTGTCCTCCTTGAATTTATGTATCCTAGTGAACAGCTATCGTGTCCTTGGGCTTAATGCACATTTTACAAGTTTATGATATTTATGTACACGAAACGAAATGAACATCAAGATTTGTTTCAATGTCTGCTAAGTTATGCCCTCATTGCTTATTCATTTTTCATTTGTGGGATAAAATGGGCAGTTCCGAGTATTCATAAAGCAAACAAGAAATATTGGCCGACAGTGGATCTGAAATGTGAAAAATTTGACGAAGTCCATGTTTCTAACAAGGTTGCCAGATCCTCAAGTCTGAGACAGGTCCTGCCGAGCCTGATAGCAGTCTTGCAATTGTAGTATAAAGGGTGCCATCAAGTCTGAGACCAGGTCCTGCCGAGCCTGATAGCAGTCTTGCAATTGTAGTATAAAGGGTGCCAATGGACTGGGCGGCCTGGACTGTGCCCAGCCTATCGCTCCCTTATGCAGCTAATCTTCGGGGTTTGGCTGGGCCTGGCCCGAGCTCATGTAGCTAGGCTGGTGCTATGGCTTTAGAGCCAAGCTAAGCTTGAGCCCGTCCTCTGACAAATGGGGCGGCCTGAGCCTGGCCCAAAAGCCTGCATGCACTCCCGATTGGCAGCCCACTAATTAATCATGCTGTTTGCTTAAGCATCTCAGCGTTTCAAGGGATGTTTTGTTCCATTTCACAAGTATCCGTTCCATCTACTTTGTAGTTAAGTGTATGCCATACATCACTTTCCTGAATATCTCTCTCTCTCTCTCTCTCTCTCTCTCTCTCTCTCAGATTGTAAATTTGGAGCATTGGCTAAGTCCTGAAAAAGCAATGTGGGGAACTTTCGAAGATAATCCATATGGCAGGCAACATGGTGAAATGTACAGCTTAGTAACGCATTGCGTGGTTCTCACTTTCCTAAGGATATCTTTATTGCCATGAATTGAAGAATTTAGATTAAAAAGGCAATACAATAGAGGTCGATGGGTCCTTAGCATACGAAGGATTTCAAACCCACACTCAAGTAACTACTACTATCTATCCAGTGCTATTTGTAAATACATTTTTACCTTGAATTATACCTAAAATTTTTGTAGAGAAGGGGCTTAAACACCATAAGTTCTCCTTCACAAGGTTTACAGTTGTTCAGTAGAATTCTCAAGCTATCTTGTGGAGAGAGTGAGAGAGAGAACCACGAAGGAACTCTTCAAGCCCCCAATTGTGCCCATGAACAGCTAGGTCGCCTGAAGCTTTGGATGGTCAGCCCGTGGCCTCCACAATCCAAGACTGTATTTGTGCGTGTATTTCAATATCAATTTCCTCTGCACATTATAAAAAATGCCCAGTGTTAGACTTCGTTACGTTTTCAAACTCCAAGAATGACGTTTTCCACTGAGTTTTAAATTGGAGAATTCTATTGTAGATGTGCCGATATTTTACGTAGAGTAGAGAAGTTGCAGACACTGTAAATTCTCTTCTTTGATTAGTGGATGCATTTAAGACACATTAATAAGCACCCACAAAAATAAGAAGGAAAAATGGGGCCACCAAAAGACTCTGCAATTGGTCCATTTTACATAAAAAACAACAGAGTACGAATATAAATCATTATAAGTCCCTCATGACACTGAGAAAAGGGGATCCATATTAGTAAGGACATCATTAATTACATCAAATGATCAGCATCTAATCACAAGCAGATAAAATAACAAGGCCAAGATAAAGGAGACTCTAGAATGCGAAATTTAAATCTGATGAAATGCGCAATGGAACTGACTCCTTTGAAGCCTACCTTTTGCCTTCGTAGTGCTCTGAAAATAGGAAGCTGTCCTAGTAAAGATTCCACCAAATCACAAGATTCCCATTCATGAAATCTCAACTCTCATCTTGTGTAGCTAATTATGACTAATCTTATGCTTACTCATTCCTTTCTTATGTGGAAGTGGGAGCAAAGGTGAGTGAGGATTCTGAATTTGCAAAGGAGTGGATCAATTAAGCATCAAGACAGAATGCTGAGAAGAATATATGTATGTGTGACGACCCCAAAATTTTTAAAACTTGAAAATAATAATAATAATAATAATAATAATTCTATAATATGCCATTAATATATTGCTAATTTTATATTGTTAATATAAATATTGATTAACAATGAATAATACGATATTATTGTTAATATACCATTTTATAACTTTTGATGATCCAATTTTATTTGGGTAGACCTTAGATCCACCATCTCCTATTTCATGCTTTGGCTTTAGCCTGGCAGTTTTTCACCCCCCTTTACTGTTTTTAAGACACCTTGCAATAAGGTGTACCATTTTGTTTAAACTCTCTCTCTCACTCTATTCGTAGTATATCTTAGCCTTCTTTCTCTCTCTTGTCGACAAGATTCAACAATAAACTCCAACTAGAAGATGATTTCTTTGTGCCTTGAGAGATGCATAGGTTGAACCATTGGTAACCGGTATCTTTTTCTAGACTACTCTGCACAATCTCCTCCTCATCAGACATCATTTACTTCTCTCTCTAGACTAGAAATGCGCAATTTACAGCAAAGCTAGCGGTTTATTTTGACAACCTTATCCTTTTGTCTTTCACCATCAATTCGAGACTCCTTCCCATGCATTTAGAGTTTCGCCTCGTTCTTTCAATTGCATGAATAACCAAAATTATTCCAGTTTTCTCACACTAGACTGAAAACCCCAAGTATAAAATGGCGTTCTAAAGGTCACCTTGGGCAACCCAGGCCAGGCCAGAATAGGGGGGATCTTCCGCGACCACGCGGACATCACCATTCTCACCTTCTCATCCTCCATCGGGATCACAGATTCCACGGAGGCAGAGGCACGCGCTCTGCTTGAGAGGCTAACACTGTTCGATCCTACCCTAATCATTGAAGGGGATTGCAAGAATGTTATCTACTGGGCTTTCCACTTAGCCCACCCTCCTTGGAGACTGTGGCACATTGTTTACCATACTGACACTCTTTGTAGGCATACACAGGTCTCTTGGACACATATCTGGCAGGAGGCCAATCGCACAGATGACGACCTCGCCAAAATGGGAGCTACAATGGAGCAACGGTGTCTTTACAAGGGGGCTGCTTGATCGGTTTTTTGGGATCCCTTATCAACTTTTTGGGTTTTTTATCGGTTTATTTCTTTTCTTTTTGTTTTTTTGGTTGTCGTTTTTCTTTCGTTGTCACCTTTCTCGGTGACTTTTGCTACCTGCTTGGGGCTTTTGTATCTTTGTACTCCCTTTACCATCAATACAATGTATCTTTGTACTCCCTTTACCATCAATACAATGTCAACTTTATAACAAAAAATAAAAATAAAAAATAAAATAAAAAATAAAAATAAATAAATAAATAAATATATATATATATATATATATATATATATATATATAAGAGAGACTATGTCTACTACGTAAGGTCTAACTTAATTTAGTTAGTTAAGTATAATAAGTATACAATAAGTNACTACTTACTTCGTTT